TATCTGATGAAACCAAGATTAAACTCTTTGGCCTGAATGCCAAGGGTCACGTCTGGAGGGAACATGGCACCATCCCTACGGTGAAGCATGGTGGTGGCAGCATCATGCTGTGGGGATGTTTTTCAGCGGCAGGGACTGGGAGACTAGTCAGGATCGAGGGAAAGATGAACGGAGCAAAATACAGAGAGATCCTTGATGAAAACCTGCTCCAGAGTGCTCAGTACTGTGACGAGTACTGAGTATACGAAGAGGCAGGACGCAGACGCAGGAATTAACAAGGTAAAGGTTTACTTAACAATGGGAAAGCGAATAACAAAGAGCGAGTAAACGACACGACGCTAACAATTACACACAACTATGAACAAACAGTCCAGGGCTATATAGTGGTGGTGGTGAGATGATGAGGGGCAGGTGCGCTGGAGGTGTTTAGGGTGTATTGGGTTTCCATTCCTGTGTTTGCCGAGGTGGTGCGCTCAGACCGGTGGCTCAGTAGACCGGCAAATCAGAGTGCCGGAGGGAAGCAACGGGAGGAGACGTGACAAGGACATCAGACTGGCGCGAAGGTTCCAACAGGACAATGACACTAAGCACACAGCCAAGACAACGCAGGAGTGGCTTCGGGACAAGTCTCTGAATGTCCTTGAGTGGCCCAGTCAGAGCCCGGACTTGAACCCAATCGAACATCTCTGGAGAGACCTGAAAATAGCTGTGAAAGCAAACACTCCCCATCGAACCTGACAGAGCTTGAGAGGATCTGCAGAGAAAAATTTGAGAAACTCCCCAAATACAGGTGTGCCAAGCTTGTAGCGTCATACACAAGAAGACTTGAGGCTGTAATTGCTGCCAAAGGTGCTTCAACAAAGTACTGAGTAAATGGTCTGAATACTTACGTAAATGTCATATTTCCGTTTTATTACTTTTTTTAATTTGCAAAAACCTGTTTTTCTCTGCCATTATGGGGTATTGTGTGTAGAATAAGGCTGTAACCTAACAGAATGTGGAAAAAGTCATGGGGTCTGAATACTTTCCGAAAGCACTGTATATATGTATTTTATTTTTTATTTTTAGGGGTAATATTTAGGGGTAATATTTTAATTTTTAATTTTTTTAGCTTTAATACAGCAGATAGATTGTAGCTTCCATTAATGTAATTGTCTGCATCATTTCCAATCCCCCATATATTGTTTTGTAAATATATATATAGTACCAGTCAAAAGTTTGGACACACCTACTCATTCAAGGGATTTTCTTTATTTGTACTATTTTCTATATTGTAGAATAATAGCGAAGACATCAAAACTATGAAATAACACATATGGAATCATGCAGTAACCCAAAAAGTAGCCACCCTTTGCCTTGATGACAGCTTTGCACACTCTTGCCATTCTCTCAACCAGCTTCATGAGATAGTCACCTGGAACGCATTTCAATTAACAGGTGTGCATTGTTAAAAGTTACTTTGTGGAATTTCTTTCCTTCTTAATGCGTTAATGAGCCAATCAGTTGTGTTGTGACAAGGTAGGGGGGGTATACATTTACATTACATTTTAGTCATTTAGCAGACGCTCTTATCCAGAGCAACTTACAGTTAGTACATTATTTTGTTAGAGTATTTTTTTTATTTTCTTTTGGGGGGGGAATCGAACCCACAACCCTGGCGTTGCAAACACCATGCTCTACCAACTGAGCTACATCCCTGCCGGCCATTCCCTCCCCTACCCTGGACGACGCTGGGCCAATTGTGCGCCGCGCCATAGGTCTCCCGGTCGCGGCCGGCTACGACAGAGCCTGGATACAGAAGATAGCCCTATTTGGTAAAAGACCAAGTCCATATTATGGCAAGAACAGCTAAAATAAGCAAAGAGAAACGACAGTTCATCATTACTTTAAGACATGAAGGTCAGCCAATCCAAAAACGTTCAAGCGCTATGATGAAACTGGCTCTCATGAGGCCTGTCACAGGAAAGGAAGACCCAGAGTTACCTCTGCTGCAAATAAACCTACCATTAAAATTATAGACTGATCATGTCTTTGTCAGTGGGCAAACGTACAAAATCAGCAGGGGATCAAATACTTTTTTCCTTCACTGTACATATTATGAATATTTAATTCAGTGATTGAAATTACGACCCCATCCTCAGCAGCAGGCTATGGAAAACACAAGCACTTCTTACTTCGAAATCACCAAACTATTCATGTTGAATAAATTAGTCTGTTAATTTGAACTAAGCAAGCTGCTAAATCGTTCAGTTTGCATCTTGCCTACATTTTGCCTAGGCTACTGTAGACTATCTGAAATAAGATGTAGGCCTATCAGGGGCTATAGGCTACCTGCATCTACACTACATGACTAAAAGTATGTGGACACCTGCTCGTCGAATATCTCATTCCAAAATCATGGGCATTAATATGGAGTTGGTCCCACCTTTGCTGCTATAACAGCCTCCACTCTTCTGGGAAGGCTTTCAACTAGATGTTGGAACATTGCTGCGGGGCTTGCTTCCATTCAGCCACAAGAGCATTAGTGAGGTTGGGCACTGATGTCGGGCTATTAGGCCTGGCTAGCAGTCTGCGTTCCAATTCATCCCAAAGATGTTCGATGGGGTTGAGGTCTGGGCTCTGTGTAGGCCAGTCAAGATCTTCCACACTGATCTCAACAAACCATTTCTGTATGGACCTCGCTTTGTGCACGGGGTCATTGTCATGCTGAAACAGGAAAGGGCCTTCCCCAAACTGTTGCCACAAAGTTGGAAGCACAGAATCGTCTAGAATGTCATTGTATGCTGTAGCGTTTTGTATGCTGTAAGATTTCCATTCACTGGAACTAAGGGGCCTGGCCCGAACCATGAAAAACAGCCGCAGACTATTATTCCTCCTCCATCAAACTTTACAGTTGGCACTATGCATTGGGGCAGATAGCATTATCCTGGTATCCGCCAAATGCAGAATCGTCTATTGGACTGCCAGATGGTGAAGCGTGATTCATCACTCCAGAGAACACGTTTCCACTGCTCCAGAGTCCAATGGCGGCGAGCTTTACCCCACTCCAGCCGACGCTTGGCATTGCGCATGGTTATCTTAGGCTGCTCGGCCATGGAAACCCATTTCATGAAGCTCCCGACGAACAGTTCTTGTGCTGACATTGCTTCCAGAGGCAGTTTGGAACTCGGTAGTCAGTGTTGCAACTGAGGACAGACTATTTTTACGTGCTACGCGCTTCAGTACACTGCAGTCCCGTTCTGTGAGCTTGTGTGGCCTACCACTTTGTGGCTGAGCCGTTGTTGCTCCTAGACTTTCCACTTCACAATAACAGCACTTACAGTTGATCGGGGCAGCTCTAGCAGGGCAGAAATTTTACGAACTGACATGTTGAAAAGGTAGCATCATCCTATGACGGTGCCACGTTGAAGGTCACTGAGCCCTTCAGTAAAGCCAATGTTTGTCTATGGAGATTGCATGGCTGTATGCTCGGTTTTATACACCTGTTAACTTTAGCCTACTACATCTACTCTAGCTACATATTGAACTTACATCCTCTCAGGCCAGGGGCACAATGTATGAATTTATGGTTGGATCAGAATCGCCGTCATAATCATTAGCCAGTATGGCAAATTAAGTAAAACCACAAGTCCAAAGCCCTATCTCCATCCATGGCTAATTTAGGAAAGGAACAACTTTAGCTAGCTAGCTAGCCACCGGAGGACGAGACGCAACAACGAGACACAACAATTCAAGTTTTTCCTGTAAATGACATTCTGCTTTTGATGTGATTGGTGTGAAACCAAATCCACTTATTTTTTTGGTGTGCCAGGACCATTCACAGTTGAGCTCACTCAGTTTAGCTCAACGCTGATTGGCTATTATAATTTTTTTGATCAAGGGAGTCCAAATACTCGCTGGCTTCCCTTGCATTCAACGCTATGGGTGGCAACAATGCCATACTCGTTTTGACCAGACAGCATCAGATAGATGCGCTACACATACATAGAAAGAGGGGCGCTGTATCACTCGCTCGGATGCTTTCTCCAGTGAGATACATTCAGTCTCTTGCGAATTGAAGGAAAATTATGAAACACAGAGAGACGAAACATACATTTTTAAAATTTATTTTCTATTTTTTGCTTGGTACATTTTTGGGGGAAGCCTGGCTTCCCTTGGCATCCATGAGTACACGCCACTGTTGAAAGCAAGTCTAAGAAGTGGTAGATCTGTTCTATGTGTGCTATTTTTATGCTTCCTATTCTTAAATTTAGTTATTGCGTCTTTTACATTCAAACAGCTAAAAGTACAATATTTTTTGTTATATTTCACAGCAGTTTATATGGTACAATGATTCTCTACACCATTGCTTGCTTGTTTTGTCACATAAACTGAAATTAGGCGAACTATTCCAATTTTAGCAACCAGGAAATGGTAGAGCGATTTCTGCATAGTGCATCTTTAAAGCTACAATATGTCACTTTTTGGGACCCATGATAGAAATATGAGTTATAGATCTGTCATTCACATTGACAGCACGTCTAAGAAGCGGTAGATCTGGTCTATGTGCGCTATTTCTATGCTTCCCGTTCTTAACTTTCGTTTTTGCGTCTTTTACTTTAGGCTTTGTACACCAGCTTTAAACAGTTGAAAATACAATATCTTTGGTTATGGAAAATATATTTCACTGTGGTTTAGATGGTACAATGATTCTCTACACCATTGCTTTGCTTGTTTTGCTTGATTTCTGCATAGTGCTTTATTGGAAACTACTGAAGGTTATCAGAAAGATGAAATTTAAACACGCCCCCTTTTGGATGCAAAAATGACGCAATGAAATAGGCTTACAACACAATACTAATGATTTGAAGTATGCACACTGTAAGAAAGTGTTCATACACTTTGCAAGTGTAGGCCTATTGCTCTCAATAATAAAACAATTTCCCAGACGGCAATGCACCGGATCAGATAGGGTGATGCGCGACACCGATCAAGTTGCAATGTCATATAACATAGTTTTACCAGAATCAAAAGTGAAACTAAACTGATAGGCTACCCGCCGCACCCACAGTGAATATATTTGTTATTCGCCAGTTGCCAGTTTAAGTTGTTAAGGCAGTATGGCAGAAGCATACGCATTTGCGCTGCTTGTTGAGTTGAAGGGGAATCCCAATATTCCCAAACTGAAAAACAAGTTGGTAAAATATTTCCAAAGTAAAAAGTCTAATGGTGGTGATTGTCTCGTGGAATACGAAGATGGACAAGAAGCAGTAGTGCGGTTCAAAACTGAGGAGGGTAAGTTATAGCAATTGCAAATGCTTCTTTTATTAAATGGCCTGTATCACTTAACGTTATTGGTTAGACATTACATTCAACCAATGTTAGGGACAGATCGAAATGTACTTGTGCATAACCTCCCCCTCATAGAATTAACTCAAAATAATGTTTACAACCACAAATAATAACTGTAGCGACCCTGTGTTTATAAACGTGGATATTGACTTTTACACTTCAGCGTTCTTTTGTGGCACAGTCGATTCCACGCAGGGCTACGGGTTCGCCGAAAACCATGGACTAGCTCACGCTCCCTGCCCTTTTCATTACACAATGATAAGAGTCAGCTACCGACAATGATCAGCTATGGGGAAATAAGATTTTCAACATTTTGATGCTGTATTTTTGTATTGTATAAAATATATGCAACGAATTTTCCACCAACAGGTTTCTGTGCCAATGCACCACACAACCAATAGCTTCAATATCACAGGAGGTTGGTGGCACCTTTATTGGGGAGGACGGGCTCATGGTAATGGCTGGAGCGGAATCGATGGAATGGTATCAAATACATCAAACACATTAACTCCGTTCCAGCCATTATTATGAGCCGTCCTCCCCTCAGCAGCCTCCATTGTTCAATATCATGGTTTGCGTTTTCATTTTCAACACCACAATGAAATAGACCAGGGTTCCCCAACTGGCAGCCCGTGAGCCGAATTTGGCCTGCGGGTTGTTTTATTTGGCCCCCCCATGTTTTCTGAGGCAGAAAAATAAAAATATATTTGTAATTTTCATTGTTGGACATAAAAAAAAATAATACACCAGGAAATCAGCTCCAAGGGATTTTAATTTGGGAAATCTGTTCCCAAGTATTTCCACGTATAATAGAGAGACACGTGATCATACACAAATGTAAGCAAGGTTTGAAATTATTATGTTTTAGTCAAATATTATATCTGTTTGGGCTTCTTGTGGTCAATTTGTCTCCAGTCTACAAATTATTTGTAATTATGTTCCAGCCCCCGACCATCCACTCAAGAAAAAAATCGTTATTCAAGTGACATTTTCACTGCAGCATAGAGTAGAATATTGTACTCAATTGAGAGCAAATATTCATTACATTGTGGTGTTGTAGGCTAAACAAGATCTCTAAACAAGATCCCTAAACAAGATCCCTAAACAAGATCAATAGGGGAGCTTTTCATGCCTATCAGCTATTCCTCTTTGTTATGTGGATTTATATTGAAAATTGGTGCAGCTTTGAATGTGTGGTATGATTGCTAGTTAGCCTATTGCAGATCTGGACAATCCACCTACCATTATTGTCACTATGAATGGTGGATAGAGGGCAGGATAGTCAGACTGGTAGACGATATTGACCTGTGGTATAGTAACAGTTAGCGTGCGAAAAAGCGTAGTGAATAAGGGAAGTACCATAACACCTTGATGTAGGGGAGGCGCATGCAAGCAGATGAGGAAATCTGGCGAGGATGGAAGAAATTATATAGTAAAACCTGCAAAAGGGCGAATGTAAACCAGGCCAAAAACAGAGTACCCTCCCCTATGCCCAATAAAAAACCACACAACCCTCCCCAAAGTAAAGAAAAAAGCACCCTTCCCCTTATTTTGGACCCCCTCCCCAGTAAATGATGAACTGTCCCTTACATTGTTATTACATTGTTAATTTACATTGTCACAAATCCCCTGTATTCATGGCTGAATGTGTTTTGAACATTGCGTCAGTAGTAGCGGTTCTTTTCTGTCCCATGCACAGTCAGGCAGAGAGTTCTTGAGAAGCAGGATCACGAGATCAGGTTGGATCGAGGGGTGCTGAAACTGACCATTGGTCTGCCATCAGATGAGGTCACAAAGAGTGCACAGGTCAGTAGTGTCCTGATTATGTGAAACATAGGCTATTCCTCCCTCTTACAGCCAGATGGTGCAGATGCACCACCAGTTCCCTATTTTTCCCCGCTGAGTCTTTTTTTCTGTATGTTTCACAGATTTAACAGGGACAATTTTATAGCCAATCATGTGACTATGTTGGCCAATCTCAATGCTCTACCAAAACATGACTTTACAAAACAGGCAACAGTTTGTAACATAATAAATAACACAATCTTTTTTGTTTGTTTAGGAAACACAGTCTCCTATCACCTCAGGCAAGTACAAAACATTGTATCTTTTGATAGTTGTTTGTCAGCTAAACAAGCAGGCAATATTATACACTCATATTAAACTATTCAACATGCCTTACTATGCAAACATTTGTGTTATTACAAGAAATTGTGGTATTATAAGATGTTACATATACACTGAGTGTACAAAACATTAAGAACACCTGCTCTTTCCATGACATAGACTGACCAGGTGAATCCAGGTGAAAGCTATGATCCCTTATTGATGTCACTTGTTAAATCCACTTCAATCAGTGTAGATGAAGGGGAGGAGACCGGTTAAAGAAGGATTTTTAAGCCTTGAGACAATTGAGACTTGGATTGTGTATGTGTGCCATTCAGAGGGTGAATGGGCAAGACAAAAGATTTAAGTGCCTTTGAACAGGGTATGGTAGTAGGTGCCAGACGTACCGGTTTGTGTCAAGAACTGCAACGCTGCTGGGTTTTTCACGCTCAACAGTTTCCCATGTGTATCAAGAATGGTCCACGACCAAAAGGACATCAGCCAACTTGACACAACTGTGGGAAGCATTGGAGCCAACATGGGCCAGCATCCCTGTGGAATGCTTTAGACACCTTGTATAGTCCATGCCCCGACGAATTTAGGCTGTTCTGAGGGCAAAAGGGGGGGGGTGCGAATATTAGGAAGGTATTCTTTATGTTTTATATACTCAGTGCATGTTCTTACATGCTTACATGTTATAAAGCATAACACCTGCAGGCTTTAAGTAAAGTGATACCCACAATTCAGCAGGTAATAGGGAGCCAATTGACAGCCAGCTCATGGCATCAGCTAAGAGGAAGGCAGAGGCTGATGCTCCTCAGCAGGAATTACTAGGCTTCAAAAAGCAAGCTGTTGGTTAGTAGGTTTATGTTAAACCTCAAATAAATCAGATCCCAGTATTTCTGGAGGGTTGTGGGGGATTCCTATTGGTTTGCATCTGAAGACCAGATTGTGGTCAGAATGAATTTTTTTCGTTTATTGGGCTGTTCGCAATAAGAACATTTGAAAGGGTTAAATGGGTCCCAGTACAACGTTTTGGGAACCACTAGTGTATGTGAAAGGAATGTTTTCTAGAATTATACATAAAAGTATATAATGGTTAACTATACAACACAAAAGTTTGCATTCTATATCATGGTTAAGTTAACATACTATAACTGATTTGGCTAAGCAGTGGTTAATAATACATTGAGAAAGTTGTAGTACAGTTGTTGTAGTAGAATTCAACAAAGTAGTTGTAGTCACCTCCAAAAATACATGGTCTTATCATTCTCAGCTGCTACTGATTCAAAAGACTTACCTAAGAGTGGGGATGGAGATGGACACACTCCCCTTACTGAGCCACAGACAGAGATGGAGATTGAACCGATGGAAGTCGAGGAAAAGCTGGTATCCACCTCAGCCGTGTTGGGGAACATTGAGGAGAGCATGAACAAGGAGTTCCTGGAGATGCTGATAGAGAACATCCTGAGTGCGTATAACACCTCTGGTTCTGACTCTCCTACTGCAACACAAACCTTCAGTCTGGAGATCCTGCCACCTGTCCTAGACACCGGCCTGGCTGTGGTGACTTTCCAAAATGGAAAAGGTAAAAAATAATAATTTGTTGTTTTTCCATCTTAAAGATAGAATCACCATTATGACATTGCCATGAGCAGCACCACAGATATTGCGATGAGGGCGATGCAAGACTTTGCTCTCACACATTCACATAGAGTATGTGCGCATGTGCACAGGTTTGGTTCACGCTGCTACAACATGGAAGCTACGAGACTAAAACAGCTGAGAAGTTTTGCCTCGCTCTTCAACGCTCTTAGTTGTTGCGGAAATTAACCCACTACTGCTGTTTACTTTGTGCATCTACACCATCCCGCTGAGTCTACCTTTAATATCATTTACTGTTTGTAAATCTTCTGCTAAATGACTCACATGTAAATACAATTTTGAGAGGTGTAGAATTCTATCCTTTACATACAAGTCACCAAAGACACAGAATATTTACTGAATGTTATGACTTATAGCATCTCTTGTAAACAAGAACATATCTCAACAACATACTCTACTACTTCTCTTATTTGTCAGAGACTGAGAACTTCATCACCAACTGCAACAGCAACAGGATGTTCAGACAGAAACAACTATCTGTTAAACTCCTGGAACTCACCACAAAAGTGAAAGTTGAAAACATAAATCCAAATGTTAGTTCAGACCACCTCCAACTGTTATTTGGAAAAGGGGGCGAGGAAGTGGAAGACGCTGAAATGAATGAAGAGGACCAATCAGCAATCCTCACCTTTCAAGATCCTAAAGGTAAAAACAGTACTAAGGGACAGCAGAACGATTTTTCATAGGGGGTGCAGGGGGAAAAAATGTACGCCTTATTTAGGTATGTTTCTGCTAATAATGATTTACTATTTGTTACTCAACTTGTCTATAATTAGATAGGCTACATGCAGCTTCTCTTCTGTCATAACTTGTTGCCCTAGAAGACTAACTAAATCGGTACCTACAAGAATACATTTCATGAATCGATAGAATTAATATATCAATACTCTAGTTGACATCGATAAAGTAGTTGTCTCTCTTCCGTTTCTGCTTCTCGAGTAGCGATGACTTTTAGGGACGAAAATCTAACACAGGAAGGATTCCTGATTCCAGAAATGTTCACCTCTTTTAAGGAAATTAAGGCTGTGAACGATCTAACTTGTTTCAGATTTCAGTTTGTCTTGGATGCATAATGTTAGTTGATGAAATATTGTCAGATTTGATAAAAGTCAAAATCGCTGCAAACAATTTCACGTTTACACGCACGTGCATTCAGATGCTGAAAAAAATTACTCATATTTCTCCCTCCTGTTCCTGAGATAAAACGAACTGTTGGTGTGTCATTTTACTGCAATAAATACTTAATTCTCCATTAGTTCATTCTATATCTGGCTATATGTGAGAAGTTAGGTCTACAGTCAGTGTCCAGATTTCAGTTACTATTCCATTAACACATCTCAGGTTCTAAGGTGCAGTAGAGCACTGGGGCTACTTCTACTTCCTTGGTACTACATAGTTATGTTATATATGTTATGACAAAATGAGGTTTCAAAATGGATGAGTAATAATCTAATATTTGGTGTGTTTTTTATTAGCTGTTCACAGAGTCCTAGAGAAGACACATTACATCGAGAAGCAGCCTCTCAAGGCTTTCCCCTTCTATGATTCTCTGGGAACGGCCTTGTACGGCAAAGACAGACCCACATTGAAACTCCCTTCTGCCTTCACCGTAAACATCGACCAGGCCATTTGGAGATACCTGTGTGACAACCAGGAAGCTGCAGAGACCATCCACAAGGAAATGACCGAACACTTCTGCAAAGTAAACTTCCAACAACCTACCATCAAGTTAAGCCCGCTGCCATCTCTACTCAAACAGAAGGGTGTGAAACCCAAGCACTTACAACAATGGAAGGACACCACCAAAGTTGCCTTAATCCAAGCCTTGTCTAACTTCAAATCGTTGGAGCTCCAGGTTCAGGACACTGCATGGGAAGAGTCTAAAGGGGAGATCCTCAAGGTGGTGTCCGGGGAGGCTGTGATGGTAGTCCATGATGAGGCCAGAGGTGTTCTGGCAGTGGTGGGATTGGTAGAAGATGTGGACCGGCTCAGGCAGACACTGGATGGGATCATGGACAGGATTACTAGAAGAATCGAGAGGGAGAAGACAAGCATAACAGAGGAGTTCCCCCTGGTTCCATCTATCTACCATGTACTGTTGCAAGATGGCCTGCTGGACAAGATTGTCGGTGAATTCCCAGAGTTGAAGCTGACGTATAATCAAGAGAGCCAGAGTGTGACCATCTACGGGTTGATGCAAGAGGTGTTGGGTGCTAACAGAAAGCTTGCAGGTCAAGTAGTAGCCCTGAAACGAAGGCTGGTGGAATTGGACGACTACGTCCTTGAGTTCCTGCAGGAGGAAAACCAGGAAAAGCTAACCAGTTCCCTTCTCACCTTACAGAGCATCAATGCAGCGCTAGAAATAGAGAGAAAAGGAGTGCAGATTCTGGCTGTCTCTGAGGAGGCCCTGAGCGAAGCAGAACATCAATTGGATACACTTTTGATTTCTCAATACATAGATGTAGAAGACTCCAATCTCCTGAGGATGTCCGAGTGGAAGGATGTTGTCAACCGTTTGGAGGAAGCTTCAAACACTCCTTTCAGGAAAGTTATGGTCCAGACATCAGGTGCCTATTCAGGACAACAAGTGGTAGTGTCTGGCTACAAGGAAACTGTTCTCTTAGTCCGGAATGAACTGGATGATTTCTTACACCAAAACGCTCATGTTGATGAAACTATCGAAGTGAAGCCTGAGGCTATTGGTAAATTCATCCAGGAACAACACAGGGATGCTTGGTCTGATAGAGTCAGAGATAGTGGAGTTAAAGTTTCTTTCAATGATGAGGCTATTTACCTGAGTGGCACCAGAGTTCATGTAACAGATTGCAAGGCATTATTCGAAAACTTGGTATCCTCCACATTCTTTGACGCCTTAAGAGTGTCCAAGCCTGGAGCGAAGAAGTTCTTCCAGGACAATGAGCCCATGTATGTTGCCACAGTCATGAGTCAGACAGGCTGTGTGGTCCAGCTGGTTGAGGAAGAGTATGATGCCAATGGCAGACAAGGCATAAAGCTAGCAGGAGGAGGAATGAAGCCTATCTACCAGCTTCAAACACCTGATGGGGTGGAGATAGCCGTTTGCAAAGCAGACATATGCAAATATTCTGTAGACGCTGTTGTCAATGCCGCCGCCCTGGACCTGAAGCACAGTGGAGGTCTTGCAGGAGCTCTTCTGGATACTGCTGGCCCTCAACTGCAGGATGAGTGCAACCAGATAATCAAGAACAAGGGTCAGCTCAAGCCAGGGGACAGTGTTATCACTGGTGCAGGAGGGAAGCTCCGCTGCAAGCACATCATTCATGCAGTGGGACCCAGGTTTGACAAGGCAAACCCCCAGAAGGCCATGGGACAGTTGAGGAGGGCGGTGAAAGGGAGTCTGGATCTAGCAGAGACCCACAACTGCCTGTATGTGGCTCTTCCTGCTATTAGCTCCGGGAATCTAGGCTTTCCTCTGACCCTGTGTGCAGAAACCATTGTCAAAGCGGTTAAAGAACACTGTGACGACAAGTTTGGGGACAACACTCTGAAGAAGATCCATCTGGTGAACAATGATGACAAGACGGTCCAGGCTATGGAGGCAGCGGTGCTGAAGGTGTTTGGGAGCCATGGGACTAGTCATCCACGAGAGAATCGACCCACCATAGCTACACACAGCCAGCCTGGTCGTCGGACTCAACTCACAAGCGGTTCTGACAGAGTGCAGACCAAAGAGGGGCTGGCTATTGTCCTGATGAAAGGGAATATCCAAGATGCTGTGGTAAATTGTTTCCAATGTTACTTTGGCTCCCTTTGATTGTATAAATCTCAATAGTCTTAGTGAAAAATGTCTTAGATTTCATGAAGATAAAATCAGAAGAGCCAATAATTTTGTGTAGTCAGACATTAACCCTTTTGGTGTTGAGGTACCATATACAAGTTGTAATTGAATGACAACCCAGTTTCTAATCAGTTACATGCAACTTGAAGATTTTCATAGATCTGTTTCAAGTTTATTTGTCATGTGTAAACAAATACATTTGAAGTTTAACTCTTAAATGATCTTACTGTTACAGACTGAAGTTGTGGTCAACACCGTGGGTGATGACCTAGCACTTAACCATGGTGCAGTCTCCAACGCCATCCTCGCCGCTGCTGGCCCCCAACTTCAGACTCTGGTAAACCAACAGGGCAGTGCCGGAAGGGCTGGGGAAGTCATCATCACCACTGGCTGCAACCTGAAGAGCAAGCGGGTGTTTCATACCATCGCCCCTCACTGGGACAATGGACAAGGAGCACCACAGAAGGTAGATTGTGTTGTTCCATATCTAAGGATATATAGTTTCATTTGTTGTGTATTTGTACTGTATTTGTTGTGTACAGTGCATTTGGAAAGTATTCAGACCCCTTCCCTTCTTCCACATTTTGTTACGTTACAGCCTTATTCTAAAATTGCTTAAACAATACCCCATAATGACAAAGCTAAAACAGGTTTTTATACATTTTTACAAATTTATAAAAAATAGAAAACAGAAATACCTTATTTACATAAGTATTCAGACCCTTTGCTATGAAACTCGAGCTCAGGTGCATCCTGTTTCCATTGATCATCCTTGAGATGTTTCTACAACTTGATTGGAGTCCACCTGTGTTCAATTCAATTGATTGGACATGATTTGGAAAGGCACACATCTGTCTATATAAGGTCCCACAGTTGTCAGTGCATGTCAGAGCAAAAAGCAAGCCATGAGGTCGAAGGAATTGTCCGTAGAGCTCTGAGACAGGATTGTGTTGAGGTACATATCTGGGGAAGGGTACCAAAATAATTCTGCATCATTGAAGGTTCCCATGAACACAGTGGCCTCCATCATTCTTAAATGGAAGAAGTGTGGAGCTACCAAGACTCTTCCTAGAGCTGGCCGCCCGGCCAAACTGAGCAATTGGGGGTGAAGGGCCTTGGTCAGGGAGGTGACCAAGAACCCGATGGTCACTCTGACAGAGCTCCAGAGTTCCTCTGTGGAGATGGAAGAACCTTCCAGAAGGACAACCATCTCTGCAGCACTCCACAAATCAGGCCTTTATGGTAGAGTGGCCAGACGGAAGCCACTCCTCAGTAAAAGGCACGACAGCCCACTTGGAGTTTGCCAAAAGGCACCTAAAGGACTCTCAGACCATGAGAAACAAGATTCTCTGGTCTGATGAAACCAAGATGAAACTCTTTGGCCTGAATGCCAAGCGTCACGTCTGGAGGAAACCTGGCACCATCCCTACAGTGAAGCATGATGATGGCAGCATCATGCTGTGGGGATGTTTTTCAGTGGCAGGGACTGGGAGACTAGTCAGGATTTAGGGAAAGATGAATGGAGCAAAGTACAGAGAGATCGTTGATGAAAACCTGCTCCAGAGCGCTCAGGACCTCAGACTGGGGTGAAGGTTCACCTTCCAACAGGACACCCTAAGCACACAGCCAAGACAACGCAGGAGTGGCTTGGGGACAAGTCTCTGAATGTCCTTGAGTGGCCCAGCCAGAACCCGGACTTTAACCCGATCGATGGGGAGACCTGAAAATAGCTGTGCAGCGACGCTCCCCATCCAACCTGACAGAGCTTGAGAGGATCTGCAGAGAAGAATGGGAGAAACTCCCCCAAAAATGGTTTGCCATGCTTGTAGCGTCATACCCAAGAAGACTCAAGGCTGTAATCGCTGCCAAAGGTGCTTCAACAAAGTATTGAGTAAAGGGTCTGAATACTTATGTAAATGTGATGTTACAGTTTTATTTTATTTTATACATTTGCCCCCAAAAAAACACAACTGTTTTTGCTTTGTCATTATGGGGTATTGTGTGTAGATTGATGAGGGGAGGAAAAAACAATTTAATCCATTTTAGAATAAGGCTGTAATGTAAAAAATTTGGAGAAAGTCAATGGGTCTGAATACTTTCCAAATGCACTGTATATAAAATGTCTACTCAATGTAAAAAATGTAATGTCCGACACTTGATAAAATGAACTATCCCTAGGTACGATATACTAGGTCAGGGCTCTCCAACCCTGTTCATGGAGAGTTTTCACTCCATCCTCAGTTGTAGCTAACCTGATACAGGTCATCAACCAGCTAATTATAACAGGTGCGCTAGATAAGGGTTGGAGTGAAAACCTACAGGTTGGTAGCTCTCCAGGAACAGGGTTGGAGTGCCCTGTACTACATAGTATAAAACCATGTGTCTTACTGATGTGTCTAACTGACATGTACCTAGATATTGAGCGGGATCGTGAAAGAGTGCTTGGGTGAGGCAGAGCAGCAGGGACTCATCTCGATGACCTTCCCTGCCATCGGCACGGGAAACCTGGGCTTCCCCAAAGACCTGGTGGCCTCTCTGATGCTGGATGAAGTCCTCAAGTTTAGCAGTAAGAAGAACCCCAAGCACCTGAAGGAGGTGGTCTTCATCCTCCACCCAGGTGATGCACCGACGATCCAGGTAAGGAAAAGAGTTCGATAAAACTACTGTCAAATGTAAAACCCTTTTCTGATTCAAGGTGCAATTAGTTTCAAGGTTTGTAAGTTTACCTCTTTTAATCGCTTCTAACTTTGCTCACAGGCTTTCACTGATGAATTTAACAAAAGGTTTACTACACAGTCGGGAATGTCAAGGGGCTCAGCAGCATCCAGTCAACAGAGTAAAGGTATGTTCATAATAATATTAATATATGCCATTGAAATATGTTAATAATTTAAATATTTAGCAGACACTTTTATCCAAAGCGACTTACGGTCATGCGGGCATGCGTTTTATGAATGGGTAGTCCTGGGAATTGAACACACTATCTTGGCTATCTTGCTCTACCAACTGAGCTATGGAGGACTACGTGATTCATATATCTATATTTTGACAAATTATGGTTTCCTACTTTAGCTTCTGATGCAGTTACTTGTTTCCCATATTACTGCCGGGGGGCGAAATGGGTGCGTCCCTTTGATATTTGAAGTAGAAATTATGCATCAATATTGAATTTTAAATGCCTATTATAATAATTGAGGTGCACTTTAATATAGACCACATGGAAAATTCAATAAATAAAATAATGGACCATTCCACCAAGCAGGTGACATGTTTGGGTCTTCTGAACTGAATGGTGGAAAGGGAAGTACAGTGAGGGAATAAAGTATTTGATCCCCTGCTGATTTTGTATGTTTGCCCACTGACAAAGAAATGATCAGTCTATAATTTTAATGGTAGGTTTATTTGAACAGTGAGAGACAGAAGAACAACAAAAAAATCCAGAAAAACGCATGTCAGAAATGTTATAAATTGATGAGGGAAATAAGTATTTGACCCCCTCTCAATCAGAAAGATTTCTGGCTCCCAGGTGTCTTTTATACAGGTAACGAGCCGAGATTAGGAGCACACTCTTAAAGGGAGTGCTCCTAATCTCAGTTTGTCACCTGTATAAAAGACACCTGTCCACAGAATCAATCAATCAATCAGATTCCAAACTCTCCACCATGGCCAAGACCAAAGAAGCTCTCCAAGGATGTCAGGGACAAGATTGTAGACCTACACAAGGCTGGAATGGGCTACAAGACCATCGCCAAGCAGCTTGGTGAGAAGGTGACAACAGTTGGTGCAATTATTCGCAAATGGAAGAAACACAAAAGGACTGTCAGTCTCTCTCTGCCTGGGGCTCCATGCAAGATCTCACCTCGTGGAGTTGCAATGATCATGAGAATGGTGAGGAATCAGCCCAGAACTACACAGGAGGATCTTGTCAATGATCTCAAGGCAGCTGGGACCATAGTCACCAAGAAAACAATTGGTAACACACTACGCCGTGAAGGACTGAAATCCTGCAGCGCCCGCAAGGTCCTCCTGCTCAAGAAAGCACATATACAGGGCCGTCTGAAGTTTGCCAATGAACATCTGAATGATTCAGAGGAGAACTGGGTGAAAGTGTTGTGGTCAGATGAGACCAAAATCAAGCTCTTTGGCATCAACTCAACTCGCTGTGTTTAGAGGAGGAGGAATGCTGCCTATGACCCCAAGAACACCATCCCCACTGTCAAACATGGAGGTGGAAACATTATGCTTTGGGGGTGTTTTTCTGCTAAGGGGACAGGACAACTTCACCGCATCAAAGGGATGATGGACGGGGCCATGGACCGTCAAATCTTGGGTGAGAACCTCCTTCCCTCAGCCAGGGCATTGAAAATGGGTCGTGGATGGGTATTTCAGCATGACAATGACCCAAAACACACGGCCAAGGCAACAAAGGAGTGGCTCAAGAAGAAGCACATTAAGGTCCTGGAGTGGCCTAGCCAGTCTCCAGACCTTAATCCCATAGGAAATCTGTGGAGGGAGCTGAAGGTTCGAGTTGCCAAACGTCAGCCTCGAAACCTTAATGACTTGGAGAAGATCTGCAAAGAGGAGTGGAACAAAATCCTTCCTGAGATGTGTGCAAACCTGGTGGCAAACTACAAGAAACGTCTGACCTCTGTGATTGCCAACAAGGGTTTTGCCACCAAGTACTGTTTTGCAGAGGGGTCAAATACAGTGGGGAAAAAAAGTATTTAGTCAGCCACCAATTGTGCAAGTTCTCCCACTTAAAAAGATGAGAGAGGCCTATAATTTTCATCATAGGTACACGTCAACTATGACAGACAAATTGAGAAAAAAAATCCAGAAAATCACATTGTAGGATTTTTAATGAATTTATTTGCAAATTATGGTGGAAAATAAGTATTTGGTCAACTACAAACAAGCAAGATTTCTGGCTCTCACAGACCTGTAACTTATTCTTTAAGAGGCTCCTCTGTCCTCCACTCGTTACCTGTATTAATGGCACCTGTTTGAACTTGTTATCAGTATAAAAGACACCTGTCCACAACCTCAAACAGTCACACTCCAAACTCCACTATGGCCAAGACCAAAGAGCTGTCAAAGGACGCCAGAAACAAAATTGTAGACCTGCACCAGGCTGGGAAGACTGAATCTGCAATAGGTAAGCAGCTTGGTTTGAAGAAATCAACTGTGGGAGCAATTATTGGGAAATGGAAGACATACAAGGCCACTGATAATCTCCCTCGATCTGGGGCTCCACGCAAGATCTCACCCCGTGGGGTCAAAATGATCACAAGAACGGTGAGCAAAAATCCCAGAACCACACGGTGAATGACCTGCAGAGAGCTGGGACCAAAGTAACAAAGCCTACCATCAGTAACACACTACGCCGCCAGGGACTCAAATCCTGCAGAGCCAGACGTGTCGCCCTGCTTAAGCCAGTACATGTCCACGCCCGTCTGAAGTTTGCTAGAGTGCATTTGGATGATCCAGAAGAGGATTGGGAGAATGTCATGTGGTCAGATGAAACCAAAATAGAACTTTTTGGTAAAAACTCAACTCGTCGTGTTTGGAGGACAAAGAATGCTGAGTTGCATCCAAAGAACACCATACCTACTGTGAAGCATGGGGGTGGAAACATCATGCTTTGGGGCTGTTTTTCTGCAAAGGGACCAGGACGACTGATCTGTGTAAAGGAAAGAATGAATGGGGCCATGTATCGTGAGATTTTGAGTGAAAACCTCCTTCCATCAGCAAGGGCATTGAAGATGAAACGTGGCTGGGTCTTTCAGCAGGACAATGATCCCAAACACACCGCCCGGGCAACGAAGGAGTGGCTTCGTAAGAAGCATTTCAAGGTCCTGGAGTGGCCTAGCCAGTCTCCAGATCTCAACCCCATAGAAAATCTTTGGAGGGAGTTGAAAGTCCGTGTTGCCCAGCGACAGCCCCAAAACATCACTGCTCTAGAGGAGATCTGCATGGAGGAATGGGCCAAAATACCAGCAACAGTGTGTGAAAACCTTGTGAAGACATACAGAAAACGTTTGACCTGTGTCATTGCCAACAAAGGGTATATAACAAAGTATTGAGAAACTTTTGTTATTGACCAAATACTTATTTTCCACCATAATTTGCAAATAAATTCATTAAAAATCCTACAATGTGATTTTCTGGATTTTTTTGTCTCATTTTGTCTGTCATAGTTGATGTGTACCTATGATGAAAATTACAGGCCTCTCTCATCTTTTTAAGTGGGAGAACTTGCACAATTGGTGGCTGACTAAATACTTTTTTTCCCCACTGTACTTATTTCCCTCATTAAAATGCAAATTGATTTATAACATTTTTGACATGCGTTTTTCTGGATTTTGTTGTTGTTATTCTGTCTCTCACTGTTCAAATAAACCTACCATTAAGATTATAGACTGATCATGTCTTTGTCAGTGGGAAAACGTACAAAATCAGCAGGGGATCAAATACTTTTTTCCTCACTGTAAGTCTTGTCTCTCTTCTTGGTCTATTTATAATTGTTTTATCATCTTTGACTGAGGTGGTGGAGCTCAACACGTCAACCCTGTTCGCTTAATTAATGTTAGGAAAACTTAAATTTGATTGAACTTTCATTATGTGTAGAACATATGTATAATATCTTCCCCTCCCCCCTCCGAAGCATAGGCTACTGTACTGACGTTAGAAGCATGAGAAGATGGGGAGAGATATTTTTTTATTAGCTAGAGAAGAATGGATTTACTTTTTCAACGCTAGTTAAGGACACTATACGCCTAGTTATCACATTTCACGTTGGATTAATTAACTACAAAATGGTAGGATGTGATATAAACTAGTACCTTTTTTGGTTCATAACTTTATTTTGCTGGTCGGAACAGTGTAATGGAATGAAAAAAATAGTGGTTCTGTTCAGAACTAAACGATTGGAAACTAATTTTGGTTCCAACCCTGGGAACGGAAGTGAACATTTCGCCTGTTGTGGGAACTTACATTTTTACGTTGCAGAGAGGTTCTGAGAACTTTTTTCTATGGTTCCCTGAACATTTTCCTGGGAGGTTTTATTAACATTCTGAGAATGGAAATTAGAGGTTATTTACTAACGTTCTGAAAACCCGTTTCAATAAGACTTTTAATAACACTGCTAGTTTGGGTTAACTGTTTTGAACTCCAAGGACACATGGAAATTAATTTGCTTAGGCATTAATCATATAAACACATTTCTTTTTTGTGGCATGGCGTCAGTGAGATTCGAACCTATGATCTTCTGTTCTCTATCCATGGAATTTAGCGTGCCAGGTTTTTAACTCATACAAAGCTGTTCATTTTAGTCTATTAAAACACCCTATTTCAAAGGAAACAAGCACTCATTAAGATCACATTAAGAACACACTTAACAAGATAGAAGATGGAGAGAATTCTGTTGATGCTGAGAACGGAATATATATGTTTTTAAATAACATTCTTAGAACGTTAATTGAAAGTTACTAATGTTTTCTTGTGGTTTTTATGGAAAGTTTTCTTAATGTTCTGAGAACATGACTAAAAAGAACTATGAGGAAACCTGCAGAAAACGTAATGCTAAAGTACTGAAATTCCCAAAGAAGAACATTGTTTCTTGAAATTTGTAATTTGAACGTTCTGAGAACATGTCTTTAAATAGAACCATTAGGAAATCTACAGAAAACATTATGCTGAAGTACTGAAATTCCCACAGAAGAACGTTGTTTCTTAACGTTAATTTAAATAGAACAACAAGGAAACGTATAGGAAACGTTATGGGACAGTTGTGTGCAAAATAACCATAGGACAACCACACTCTCACCAAGCTCTCAGAAACATATGGATCTCCAAATGTTATGTGCTAGCTGGGTGGTCCCATGCTCTTCACCACATGAGGAGTAATGACCTATCTTCACCCTGTTATTGTCAAGCCTGTTATAGGCCCAAGGGTAACTATATCAGTTTGATATTATATGTGAGTTTATTTGTACAAGGGATACTTGATCAACGAGACAATGTTGAAAGAATAGATATTTAAAAGTGAATTGCTTAAAAGTTTGCATGTCCAAAAGGCATCCATTTTGTGGAACGACCCAGGTCCCTTATGTAATCGGCTTGACTTTTTCTCCCTCCTAACTAGGCCCTTTCTCTAAGATCACTTCAAGCTCAGGGATGCATGAGACGAAGATGGGAGGGGTTCTTATACAGGTCATCACAGGAGACATCACCAAGGAGACCACTGATGTCATCGTCAACTCCTCCAATAACACCTTCAGTCTCCAGTCAGGTAAATCTAACCTTACTTCTGGCTCACTTCACTGGAGGTTCCCTGTTTTTCTGTACATTACACAATCTTTAACATAGAAAATAATAGGGACTACCTAACCTTACATTACAGAACATTATGGCTACGCTGTATTTGCTAACTATAAAGCTCCTCGTACACAATTTTATAACCCTGCTGTTCATCTTATACTTCCTTCTCCAGGGGTGTCTAAGGCCATTCTGGATGTGGCTGGTCAGACTGTGGTAGCGGAATGCCAACAACTCGGTAAGAACCTCTACAGTTGAAGTCGGAAGTTTACATACACTTAGGTTGGAGTCATTAAAACTCGTTTTTCAACCACTCCACAAATTCCTTGTTAACAAACTATAGTTTTGGCAAGTCGGTTAGGACATCTACTTTGTGCATGACACAAGTAATTATTCCAACAATTGTTTACAGACAGATTATTTCACTTATACTTCAGTGTATCACAATACCAGTGGGTCAGAAGTTTACATACACTAAGTTGACTGTGCCTTTAAACAGCTTGGAAAATTCCAGAAAATGATGTCATGGCTTTAGAAGCTTCTGATAGGCTAATTGACATCATTTGAGTCAATTAGAGGTGGTCCAGTAGATGTTTTTTAAGGCCTACCTTCAAACTCAGTGCCTCTTTGCTTGACATCATGGGAAAATCAAAAGAAATCAGCCAAGACCTCAGAAAAAATATTGTAGACCTCCACAAGTCTGGTTCATCCTTGGGAGCAATTTCCAAACGCCTGAAGGTACCACGTTCATCTGTACAAACAATAGTACGCAAGTATAAACACCATGGGACCACGCAGCTGTCATACCGCTCAAGAAGGAGACGCGTTCTGTCTCCTAGAGATGAACGTACTTAGGTGCGAAAAGTGCAAATCAATCCCAAAACAACAGCAAAGGACCTTGTAAAGATGCTGGAGGAAACAGGTACAATAGTATCTATAACCACAGTAAAACGAGTCCTATATCGACATAAACTGAAAGGCCGCTTAGCAAGGAAGAAGCCACTGCTCCAAAACTGCCATAAAAAAAAGCCAGACTTCGGTTTGCAACTGCACATGGGGACAAAGATCGAGAAATGTCCTCTGTTCTGATGAAACAAAAATAGAACTGTTTGGCCATAATGACCATCGTTATGTTTGGAGGAAAAAGGGGGGAGGGGGTGCTTGCAAGCCGAAGAACACCATCCCAACCGTGGCAAAATGGCTTAAGGACAACAAAGTCAAGGTATTGGAGTGGCCATTACAAAGCCCTGACCTCAATCCTATAGAAAATGTGTGAGCAGAATTGAAAAAGCTTGTGCACGCAAGGAGGCCTACAAACCTGACACAGTTACACCAGCTCTGTCAGGAGGAATGGGCCAAAATTCACCCAACTTATTGTGGGAAGCTTTTGGAAGGCTAACCGAAACGTTTGACCCAAGTTAAACAATTTAAAGCCAATGCTACCAAAAACTAATTGAGTGTATGTAAACTTCTGACCCACTGGGAATGTGATGAAAAAAATAAAGTGGTGATCCTAACTGACCTAAGACAGGGAATTGTTACGAGGATTAAATGTCAGGAATTGTGAAGAACTGAGTTTAAATGTATTTGGCTTAGGTGTGTGTAAACTTCAACTGTAAATCTGAAAGATTATGTGATCAAAAAACAAGACTATTTTAACGAGCCCCGGCTCGGCTGACTGTCTAGCTCTGACTCCGCCCTTCCAATCTGTCTCCCTCTATGTACCTGTCTCCCTAGCCTCTGCTTCCTACTGTCCTGTCATGAAAAAAATGAAATAATGTTAGGATTATATATATATATTTGAACATACAAACTTGCCTCGTGATATGTTCCTTGTCCTGGTATACAATCAGGAAACTCTCCCTTTAGAAATGTTCTGAATCTTTAAATTCCAAATACATATGGTATGGGCTCTGCTCTGCCTGCTGAAATCAATGTACAGTAAAACAATCAATGTATACAATGTATATTTCCAGGAGCCCAGCCTAACAAAGGAGTGATACTGACCCAGCCGGGCAACCTGCGATGTAAGAAGATCCTCCACATGGTTGGTCAGACGGACCCAAAGAAGATCCAGGAGTCGGTCAAAGGAGCACTGCAAATGTGTGCACAGAATAACCTCACATCCATCTCCTTCCCTGCTCTCGGCACAGGTGAGTTACAAAACAGAACAGGAATGAATACTCAGGTACAAGGTTTAGATAGCTGGCTAGACTACCTTACAGCAATCTAAAAATATTTAGCTGACATGGGCTACTTGAGTGACTGGCATAACGTGGAAAACTTCTGATACACTACCACATTTCAAAATTGCACCTTGCGTATTCTAGTTTTCTAACTGTCAACACTAAGTTGAGACCACGACGGAGTTCCTAAAAAATCATGGTTAGAGATTTCCTTCTTATTCCTCTCTGATTCCGGGAATCTTCCAACCGGGATTTTGGGAAAAATCTGGGGAAAGTTATTGGAATTTTGCAACCCTAGTGAGAATCCGTAGGATTGAAGGAACATGACTTGACCCGCTTGAATACTAGCTGTTTGCTTTGTTTTTTTATCTTTGCCTTCCACTAGACAGTAAAAGCTAACAGGCATATTCAGATTCAGAAAATCTTTATTGTCTCATTGCTGGGCAATGTCTTGCAGCAATATAATATAAATGTTGCATGTTGTTGAACTTCATATCCACACTTGCTAGGTGTGGCAACTAGCCTGTTCTCTCATTGAAGGTCAGGGTAATGTACAGGCGGGCCAGGTGGCTGACGCCATGTTGGATGCTGTTGTGGAGGTGGTGGGTCAGAAGCCCCAAAACACACTACAGCTGGTCAGGATGGTCATCTTCCAGCCTGCCATGCTCACAGAGTTCCACAAATCTATGGTGAAGAAGGAGGGCACAGGCGTTGACACTCAAGAGAAGGGGAGCATCTGGGGAAAAATGAAATGTAAGAGCTACCTTATTATTTTGATAAAGAAAGGAAAGGCCAGCACATGGTATAATGCTGCTCCCCAGTGCTTTCTTCCTGCACCGGGAGAAAGCATTGTGGAGCAGCATTATATGTTACAATGTGTTGGCCTTTCTTTACCCCCTTATATTTACTGTCACATATACCCAAACAAAGTTAACCGTATTACTAGCTCCCATTGATTAATACCCTAAGATTTCATCTAAATAATGTACTGTGTCCAATATTGGTACAGCATTGTTCACCTGGCGTAAAGCTGACATTTCACAAAAGGATGAGGATTTTGTCATCGAGGGCCAGGAAGTACATCCAGCTTTCTTCCACATCTGCGGTGGCTCTCAGGCCAGAGTGGACCAAGCCAAGCATTGGCTCGAGGACCTGATCCTGAAGGAGCAAGTCAGCAACAGCATCACCGATGACGCCATCCTCAACTTGTCTGACTCCGACCGCAAGCGCATCCACGACATGCAGACCACCATGAGAGTGAGTGTGAGGATAGAATACAATTCTTCCAGGGAGGAAGCTACGCTCACAATCGAGGGCCTTAGCAAGGATGTCCTCAACGCAGTCAACGAGATCCAGGAGATGCTGAGGAAGGCCAGGGACAAAGAGACCTTCAACAGGAACGTGGAAGTGGCCAGCAACATAGTGGAGTGGCAGTATCAGCAGCAGCAGCAGCAGCCAGGGGGGCAGTACCAGAGCTTTGACCCCATCTCCAACTTCCATCTGGAGCAGGCGCTGGAGAGGAAGGTGCCCCACGTAGAGGTCTCTGTCCAGGGGCAGATGTACAAGGTCACCCTGCCTGACGGGCCTGCTACAGATACCCATGGCAACAGCCTCAAAATCAGACGCATCGACAAATTTGCAGGTACTCTTCCCTTTGGTATTGACAATGCATATTTGTGTATACCATACAGTGTGAATTTGTTATTTTAACCATACTTACCAAGGGGATAAGCTAAGTTCCTTATGTATTAGTATTAGATACTTTGTCTGTTGTTCATAGAAATGTGCTTTACATACAGAAAATGCACTTTGTTTAGAAATCCCCAACAAGAAGATAAACATTGCATAGACATAGCACCATATATAGAAACAATTAATGAAGACCTCAGCTTAAGGACATGAACTTTGTATTCTGTGCTACTTCCAGCTCAACCCATTGACAGTCTCCCTCAGCTTTGGGATGCCATGCCAGCAAACGCGTCATGCCATTCCTGCCTCATTCAGCCAGGAAGCCCAGAGCACAATGAAGTCTTAAAATTGTTCCGAGCCACCTGCGCCAACAACGTTTTAAAGGTACCTGTTGTTCCTGAAGATACATCCATTATAGTTATTGTTATGTCTTGGGATATGCTGGGTGTTATTAGTATGGGTGTGGGATGATTTGTTCATGTTCACTCGTCTGTTGGTCTCTTGAGATCACAGGATGTGCCATAGGGGTGTGATGTTTAAACACATTTTATTTAATTAAAATCACACAACTACCACTAACAGGTCCCAATCATCATCATAAAGGCAAAAAGAAAACTAATGCAACAATGTTGCAAGTAGGAGGAGACATTGCATCTAATTATTTGCCACAGATCTAAAGCACTCTGAATGTCATCGTTGTTAACAGTTTGAAAAATGGTAGAGACTGAAGCAGGAAAGTGACAGCTGTGAAGTCTGTATGGTAATACTTTGAGAAGTTAAATGAGAAGGGGATGAAATGCAAACTTTGCGAGGTGGAATTGAGGTACATTGGCAGTACAGGTGCAGTGCTGAAGGGGAGGCACCGTGAGACCCAACCCAGTGCTGGCAGCAGTGAGAAAATCACAATTCTGATTAGAGAAATGATTGTAGTTGATATCAAATCAAATCAAATCGTATTGGCCACATGCGCCGAATACAACAGGTGCAGATATTACAGTGAAATGCTTACTTACAGCCCTTAACCAACAGTGCATTTATTTTTTAATAAAAAAGTAAAATAAAACAACAAAAAAGTGTTGAGAAGAAAAGAGCAGAAGTAAAATAAAATAACAGTAGGGAGGCTATATATACAGGGGGGTACCGGTGCAGAGTCAATGTGCGGGGGCACCGGCTAGTTGAGGTAGTTGAAGTAATATGTACATGTGGGTAGAGTTAAAGTGACTATGCATAAATAATGAACAGAGTAGCAGCAGCGTAAAAAGATGGGGTGGGGGGTGGGGGGGCAGTGCAAATAGTCCGGGTAGCCATGATTAGCTGTTCAGAAGTCTTATGGCTTGGGGGTAGAAGCTGTTGAGAAGTCTTTTGGACCTAGACTTGGCACTCTGGTACCGCTTGCCGTGCGGTAGCAGAGAGAACCGTCTATGACTAGGGTGGCTGGAGTCTTTGACAATTTTGAGGGCCTTCCTCTGACACCGCCTGGTATAGAGGTCCTGGATGGCAGGAAGCTTGGCCTCAGTGATGTACTGGGCCGTACACATTACCCTCTGTAGTGCCTTGCGGTCAGAGGCCGAGCAGTTGCCATACCAGTCAGGATGCTCTCGATGGTGCAGCGCTATAATTTTTTGAGGATCTGAGGACCCATGCCAAATCTTTTCAGTCTCCTGAGGGGGAATAGGCTTTGTCGTGCCCTCTTCACGACTGTCTTGGTGTGTTTGGACCATGATAGTTCGTTGGTGATGTGGACACCAAGGAACTTGAAGCTTTCAACCTGTTCCACTACAGCCCCGTCGATGAGAATGGGGGCGTGCTCAGTCCTCTTTTTTTTCCTGTAGTCCACAATCATCTCCTTTGTCTTGGTCACGTTGAGGGAGAGGTGGTTATCCTGACACCACACGGCCAGGTCTCTGACCTCCTCCCTATAGGCTGTCTCATCGTTGTCGATGATCAGGCCTACCACTGTTGTGTCGTCGGCAAACTTAATGATGGTGTTGGAGTCGTGCCTGGCCATGCAGTCATGGGTGAACAGGGAGTACAGGAGGGGACTGAGCACGCACCCCTGAGGGGCCCCTGTGTTGAGGATCAGTGTGGCAGATGTGTTGTTACCTACCCTTACCACCTGGGGGCGGCCCGTCAGGATGTCCAGGATCCAGTTGCAGAGGGAGGTGTTTAGTCCCAGGGTCCTTAGCTTAGTGATGAGCTTTGAGGGCACTATGGTGTTGAATGCTGAGCTGTAGTCAATGAATAGCATTCTCACGTAGGTGTTCCTCTTGTCCAGGTGGGAAAGGGCAGTGTGGAGTGCAATAGAGATTGCATCATCTGTGGATCTGTTGGGGCGGTATGCAAATTGGAGTGGGTCTAGGGTTTCTGGGATAATTGTGTTGATGTGAGCCATGACCAGCCTTTCAAAGCACTTCATGGCTACAGACGTCAGTGCTACGGGTCGGTAGTCATTTAGGCAGGTTATCTTAGTGTCCCTGGGCACGGGGACTATGGTGGTCTGCTTGAAACATGTTGGTATTACAGACTCAGTCAGAGACATGTTGAAAATGTCAGTGAAGACACTTGCCAGTTGGTCAGCACATGCTCGGAGTACACGTCCTGGTAATCCGTCTGGCCCTGCGGCCTTGTGAATGTTGACCTGTTTAAAAGTCTTACTCACATCGGCTACGGAGAGGGTGATCACATAGTCATCCGGAACAGCTGGTGCTCTCATGCATGCTTCAGTGTTGCTTGCCTCGAAGCGAGCATAGAAGTGGTTTAGCTCGTTTGGAAGTCTTGTGTCACTGGGCAGCTTGCGGCTGTGCTTCCCTTTGTAGTCTGCAATAGTTTTCAAGCCCTGCCACATCCGATGAGCGTCAGAGCCGGTGTAGTACGATTCAATCTTAGTCCTGTTTTGACTCTTTGCCTGTTTGATGGTTCGTCGGAGGGCATAGCGGGATTTCTTATAAGCGTCCGGGTAAGAGTCCCGCTCCTTGAAAGCGGCAGCTCTACTCTTTAGCTCAGTGCAGATGTTGCCTGTAATCCATGGCTTCTGGTTGGGGTATGTACGTACGGTCACTGTGGGGATGACATCATCGATGCACTTATTGATGAAGCCAGTGACTGATGTGGTGTACTCCTCAATGCTATCTGAAGAATCCCGGAACATGTTCCAGTCTGTGCTAGCAAAACAGTCCTGTAGCTTAGCATCTGCGTCATCTGACCACTTTTTTATTAACCGAGTCACTGGTGCTTCCTGCTTTAGTTTTTGCTTATAAGCAGGAATCAGGAGGATAGAGTTATGGTCAGATTTGCCAAATGGAGGGCGAGGGAGAGCTTTGTATGCGTGTCTGTGTGTGGAGTAAAGGTGGTCTAGAGTTTTATTTCCTCTGGTTGCACATTTAACATGCTGGTAGAAATTAGGTAGAACAGATTTAAGTTTCCCTGCATTAAAGTCCCCGGCCACTAGGAGCGCTGCCTCTGGATGAGCGTTTTCCTGTTCACTTATGGCCTCATACAGCTCATTCAGTGCAATCTTAATGCCAGCATTGGTTTGTGGTGGTAAATAGACAGCTATGAAAAATATAGATGAAAACTCTCTTGGTAAATAGTGTGGTCTACAGCTTATCATGAGATACTCTACCTCAGGCGAGCAAAACCTCGAGACTTCCTTAGTATTTGATTTTGTGCACCAGCTGTTGTTTACAAATATACACAGACCGCCACACCTTGTCTTACCGGAGTCAGCCGTTCTATCCTGCCGATGTAGCGTATAGCCCGCTAGCTGTATGTTGTCCATGTCGTCGTTCAGCCACGACTCGGTGAAACATAAGATATTACAGTTTTTAATGTCCCGTTGGTAGGATAACCGTAATCTTAGGTCATCCAATTTATTCTCAAATGATTGAACGTTGGCTAATAGGATTGATGGAAGAGGCAGTTTACTCGCTCGCCGTCGGATCCTTACAAGGCACCCCGACCTACGTCCACGATATCTCCGTCTCTTTCTCATGCGAATGACGGGGATTTGGGCCTTGTCGGGTGTCTGTAGGATATCCTTTGCGTCCGACTTGTTGAAGAAAAATGATTCATCCAATACGAGGTGAGTAATCGCTGTCCTGATATCCAGAAGCTCTTTTTGGTTATAAGAGACGATGGCAGAAACATTATGTACAGAATAAATTACAAATAACGCGGAAAAACACACATAATATTACAATTGGTTAGAGTGCTGTAAAACGGCAGCCATCTTCTCCGGCGCCGTTCTCATTTGTAGCCATTGTCAATGGGAGAGGATGTCGGCATCAATACCCTAATGGAATATCTAGAACCAACGGCATTGCTGAGTGGGTGGAGGACAGTAGGAAGGTGAGTGCTGTCTGGTAGAGGCCTGTACTGTGGTAGATTGAAGTTCATTGCCCCCTAGTAGGGGTCACACACAGGACCATATCTGAATTATGAATTCATGTCACTGTATGATTGACAAAAAACTTTAAATGAGAAAAAATTGTTATGAATTGTTTAACATTTGTCACATCCCTAATCTGCCATATGAAATGGTTAGTTTATTATAGGCTTTAATTCTTAGTATTTGGTTAGGCAGTTGGAATAACAATGAAGCCCCAAACAGCTCCGCTAGTCTTCCTGGTAGCTAGCTATTTAAAAAAAAAAAAATTTGGCCCACATTGGCGATGAATCATCTAAAAACTAAGAATTATGGAATGTATGAAGGACACATTTTAGAGTCTATTAATGGCAGATTAATAATTATTTTCCCCTGATTTATTTCAGATTGAGAGGATCCAGAACCCAAGCCTGTGGAGGAACCTCCAGATCAAGAAGGATGAAATGGAGCTCAGGAACGGTCATAAGAACAACGAGAAGAGGCTCTTCCATGGAATGTGCCACACTACCATCAATCACATCAACCACCATGGCTTCAATCGGAGCTACGCTGGGAAAAATGGTAAGATACACATACTAGGCTTGTGCCGATCTGGCCATACTCGTATTCGCAATCGTATCCTTAAATTGACAGTTGATAGTCGGAAAAACAGAAGTGTTTTAAAATGCCTAAATAGAGGTTGGCAATATACCTTATCATGTACCTGTGCGTTTCTAGACCAGGAAAGCTGCAGATCAGAAGCAGCAGATGTTTGTGTGTTCTTAACTTGCAGCAGGCATTCTGAGCGCACATCAGCGTTCTATCTTTTTTTCCTACCCTCGCTCCACTTACATATTATGCACAGTGATAGTTTGTTAGCAAACATCCTCGCCATTTGATTTACCATAGTAGCAGCAGGCAGTAGCAATATAAATGGAGCAAAACATGCAAGGTGACTGCTGAAGTGAGTAAACGGAAGTACAGCTGCGCTCTATCCAATTGTATCACTAGGATCAACCTAAATGTCTTTACAGACAGCAGAACTAGCCAGTTGAGTTATTTAGAGCATGCAGTACCTCTCACACATGAAAGAGTTGCGTGCTGGCAGTTGAAAATGACTTATATTCTGATCATGGATAATTACAAAAAATACTCGTATCATAGGGCCTCCCGAGTGGCGCAGCGGTCTAAGGCACTGCATCGCAGTGCTTGAGGTGTCACTACAGACCCGGGTTTGATCCCAGGCTGTGTCACAACCGGCCGTGACCGGGAGTCCCATAGGGCGGCGCACAATTGTCCGGGTTAGGGGAGGGTTTGGCCGAGGGGGCTTTACTTGGCTCATCGCACTCTAGCGACTCCTTGTGGCGGGCCGGGCGCCTAAAGGCTGACGTCAGTTGAACAGTGTTTCCTCTGACACATTGGTGCTTCCGGGTTAAGCGGGAGGGTGTTAAGGAGTGCGGTTTGGCGGGTCATATTTCAGAGGACGCATGACTCGACCTTCACCTCTCCCAAACCCGTTGCAGCGATGAGACAAGATCGTAATTGAAATTGGGATAAAAAAATACATACTTGGATCATAATCGTATCAGGAAAATACCTAATATTTTACGATACTTGTTTCGTTTGAGTGCTCGGCACACCCCTAATACATAAACATGGACAAGAAGCCTGTTCGCAGATCTGTTTGTGCTATCTTGCCTACTCCTATGGTCATTGGTAAAAGCCACATGTAAACATTTTCATTCTCATTTACTCAGTCTTGTCTCTGCAATGGTCTAAAATCTAAACTATAATATTTTCAGCTGCAATGTATGGAAACGGCACATATTTTGCTGTTTCTGCCAGCTACTCTGCCAGTAACACATACTCAAGACCAGATCCACAAGGACAGAAGTTTATGTATCTCTGTCGAGTTCTGACTGGAGATTTCACAACCGGACGACAGGGGATGATAGTGCCTCCAGCTAAAAACACTACAACTGCTCAACTCTATGACAGCGTGACGGACAACCCATCAAGGCCATCCATGTTCATTGTATTCAACGACATTCAGGCATATCCTGAGTACTTGATCACTTTCCGCTAGACCACAGAGATAAAAGCAATGCAATGAACACTCTTACTTTTTATCTGCTGCGTAAAGTTTTCAGGAGCTTTTCTTATGATTGTGACTTTTCTGCTTTATAAATTGTCATTCATAATGTTTCTTGAAAAACTGAAAATGATTGTTACTTTTGCATGAAAAAGTGTAACTATTACAGGTTGGTTGTATAAGTTTGCTAAAGGACTGTAATTTTATAGTCTACAATTGATATGTCCTTTGTTTATTTCTTACGATCTCAATGGCCACTGTGCTTTGTGCAGGTTGTACTTAGGGGTTGGGGGACTTCCTGTGAATGTACATCCTTGTTCATTGTCTCATGGGATGAAAAACTGAAAAAAAGACAAAGTACTCTGCATGGTTTGTTTTGGATTGTAGTTCAGTGTTGCCAAGTTGATTGTAAACCATGGTCAATATCTGATAAGCACATACATTTATATGACGTGAGTTAATGGACAGAGAGAAGGAAAGTCCCTGCCTTGTGCTGAGAAATCATGTGACACCAAATGTGATAGCAAGTGGATGTGTGTGTTTATGAAATGGCCTCTCAATCAGTTCGCTTGTGCGGAGGAAAGTACAAATAAATATATTTTCCAGCTATCAGATTGACAATTTTAAATGTATATACACTGAACAAAAATATAAACGCAACATGTAAAGTGTTGGTCCCATGTTTCATGAGCTGAAATAAAAAATCCCAGACATTTTCCATATGCACAAAAAGCTTGTTTCTCTCAAATTTTGTGCACAAATTTGTTTACATCCCTGTTAGTGAGCATTTCTTCTTTGCCTAGATACACTATAGATACAAAAGTATGTGGATACCCCTTAAAATTTTTGGATTCGGCTATTTCAACCACACCCGTTGCTGACAGGTGTATAAAATCGAGCACACAGCCATGCAATCTCAATAGACAAACATTGGCAGTAGAATGGCCTTACTGAAGAGCTCAGTAACTTTCAACGTGGCATCGTCATAGGATGCCACCTTTCCAACAAGTCATTTCGTCAAATTTCTGCCCTGCTAGATCTGCCGTAGATGCTGTTATTGTGAAGTGGAAATGTCTAGGAGTGACAACGGCTCAGCTGCGAAGTGTAAGGCCACACAAGCTCACAGAACGGGACTGCCGAGTGCTGAAGCGCGTAGCGCGTATAACTATTCTGTCCTCGGTTGCAACAGTCCCTGCCGAGTTCCAAACTGCCTCTGGAAGCAACGTCAGCACAATAACTGTTTGTCAGGAGCTTAATGAAATGGGTTTCCATGGCCGAGCAGCCGCACACAAGCCTAAGATCACCATGCGCAATGCCAAGCATCGGCTGGAGTGGTGTAAAGCTCGCCGCTATTGGACTCTGGAGCAGTGGAAACACGTTCTCTGGAGTGACGAATCTGGGTTTGGCGAATGCCAGGTGAACGCTACCTTCCCAAATGCATAGTGCCAACTGTAAAGTTTGGTGGAGGAATAATGGTCTAGGGCTGTTTTTCATGGTTCGGACAAGGTCCCTTAGTTCAAGTGAAGGACAATCTTAACACTACAGCATACAATTGCATTTTAGACGATTCTGTGCTCCCAACTTTGTGGCAACAGTTTGGGGAAGGCCCTTTCCTGTTTCAGCATGACAGTGCCCCTGTGCACAAAGCGAGGTTCATACAGAAATGGTTTGTCGAGATCGGTGTGGAAGAACTTGACTGGCCTGCACAGAGCCCTGACCTCAACCCTCAACCTCAAAGCAAGTCCCTGCAGCAATGTTCCAACATCTAGTGGAAAGCCTTCCCAGAAGAGTGGAGGCTGTTATAGCAGCAAAGGGGGGACAAGCTCCGTATTAATGTCCATGATTTTGGAATGAGATATTCGACGAGCAGGTGTCCACATACTTTTCACCATGTAGTGTAATGTAGTGGTATATCAAGAAGCTGATTAAACAGCATGATCATTACACAGGTGCACCTTGTGCTGGGGACAATAAGGCCACTTTAAAATGTGCAGTTTTGTCACACATCACAATGCCACAAATGTATCAAGTTTTGAGGGAGCGTGCAACTGTCATGCTGACTACAGGAATATCCACCAGAGCTGTTGCTAGAGAATTTAATGTTAATTTGTCCACCATAAGCTGCCTCCAATGTCGTTTTAGAGAATTTGGCAGTACGTCCAACCGGCCTCACAACCGCAGACCAAGTGTAACCACGCCAGCCCAGGACCTCCACATCCGGCTTCTTCACCTGCGAGATCTTAAACGTATACCCGGTACAGCCAGAGGGGGCAGTCTGGTTTCAGTTTTTTCCTTCCTGCTGTGCTTCTTCTTGCTCTTTCAGGTCTAGGCCAGTTTACTCTAAAGCACTTTGTGACAACTGTTGATGTAAAAATGGTTTTATAAATACATTTGATTCATTTACTATTATTATTAGATTGTATTGACCAATTTCAATGACTTGGCCTTCTCTTAAACAGATATGCAACCCTCTTTCTCTCCCATTTACACAGTTTCCAACATTCCACCATTGCCAGGTGAGCCTCCAGAATCTGAGCTGAATATGGCTAATGTAATTTAATATCCTATTTCTACACGTTTCAGCACGATGACAGATAACAAATCTCAATTCTAAATGAAAACACAAAACATACCTTTAGCTACACAGGATGGAACATTTGTAATTTAAAGTGGTGGTAATACTTTAAGGCATTGCTTGCTGTTTGGGGTTTTAGGCTGGGTTTCTGTATAGCACTTTGTGACATCTGCTGATGTAAATGTGATTGATTGATTGATACAGGTACATTACATTATGATGTGTGCAGTGGCTGGAATGGAATAAATGGATGTTTGATCATTCCATTTATTCCATCCAGCCATTACAATTCGCCCATCCTCCTATAGCTCCTCCCACCAGCCTCCACTGGATGTGTGTCATAGACTTGTCATAAGTATCTAAACTGCTTTAAGTATCATCTTACAATGAAAGAGGGATTATTAGGGTTCTATTCAATACGTATTGCTGAAGCGTTATAGATTTTGCCCTAGATATGTAAAGACGGACATGCAGCGTTTTACCATGAACATTGCCTTTAAATCTAATTTGGGTTTTAGAGCTGTGTTACCGCGATCCAGATTGAATAGAGGCCTTAGCCATTTTGAGCTGGTAGAAAATCTGCCACATAACAAAATATAACATATTATAAGTTAATGTATAAAACAAGGGCTCATACATGCTTTTTAACAAATAATAAAGTTGTTAATGTTATCAGTGAAAAACATGCAGTATCATCCTCTAAATATGATTTCTGCTGGTGAGAAGCCAAGACTCACAGCATAGCCGACATCGTGGCTTACGCCTGTCACATGCTTCCCAGTCTAAACAGTTCGCACACAGTAGCGGTGCGTGGGTAAAATCACTGAGCAAGCCAAGGCAGTAAAAAAGCCATATTATGTTGTGATAATTGCGTTGTTTGCTCTATAACCCATTAGTTCATACGCCACTGTGATTATACAATAAGGCTGTGACAACAAAATGACAACAGTCACACAGTGGTGGAACAAATTCAACTACCCATACTGTACGTTTATTTAATCACAAAACTGGAGAGCAACATCTGTCCCGTGAAGTCCACAAAGCAAATATTGCATGTAACAAACAGTTATATCACCTGCAGCATGGTCAAGCAAGTTAATGTTTTCGACAGTTGACTAAACAACTGATTTAGAACAACGGAGTCAGCACAAAGACAACAGGAGCACTGCCTCCGCTGTTCCAGCACTATTTCATCTTAAACATTTAAACATCAACAACTCAACAAGGCTATATATGCTCAGTTTAATACACTGAAAACAAAGATACCAAAAACAATTTAGTCCAATCAATGTTGCTAAATATCATGTGGCTGCCCATGGTACTGATTTCTGTCTGTGTGTGTGCGTGCGTGAAAACGGTGCCCGACTGGCAGGGGCGAAGGACACTGTCTACCGGTGTATGGCTAGCTAGGAACCGTTGTCGCCCCTGCCCCTTCTTCTGTGGGGTTTTTCGCCGGCTGGCATCCAACTTTTTTGTGCATTAACGCCACCTACTGTACTGGAGTGACCCCGCCTCCCGCCTGTCCTAGCTTAAAACTTGACCAATAGAAGTATAAAGAGGGGTTCCTGCAGATGCGTGAATGCCCACTTGCAGGAACGCCTCGAATTGCAGGCCACAGTTGCATCCTTCACAGCCTTTGTCCTCACAAGTCTTTTCTTTGAAAAAGTATTGCAGCCATCGACTTCAGCACTATTGCCAATGGTTTCATTCTTGATGCAACACTCCCATCTAGTTGCAGTGAGGAGTACTTCAGCCAGTTGAGTGTCTGTACGCTACAGTGTGTGTGTGTATCACCAGAGCATTGTCTCCCTGTTCATGCTAGTGTGTTTCTCTTCACTCTTCTGTCTTTACACTATGTGTGTCCCTATACTATGTCCCTCTGTAGTCAACTGTGTCTCTTTCTCATCAAATGTGATCTGCTTCTCTCTCCGTTGGTGTGTCTGTATTTACAGTACTATTTGTTTCTCAACCACGGTGTATATGTACACTACTGTGTGTGTACCTTTTATCTGTGTCTCTGTAGACTATTGTCTCTTTTGTGTGTCTGTCTGTTATTCTCTCTACTATTGTCTCTTTCTCCTCTACCATCTCTTTCCACTACTGTGTGTATCCCTCATCTGTGCATGTGTACACTGTGTCAGTCCCTGCTATGGTGTAAGGCTCTCTTCACACTTCTGTGAGTGTGTCTTTCTGTATATTAATGTGTCTCGCTCTGTGTGTGTATTCCTCTCTCTCTACTGTGTGTGTGTGTGTGTGTGTGTGTGTGTGTGTGACACACCGACACCTTCCCCGGTCAGAGTAAAAATAACACAACTTCTGTCCACTTTGAGAGAGACCGAGGATAATCTGAGCTGAGCAGGCAAGAGAACTGTCAGGTGTCCCGGTCCCTAACAACCTGACACCTAGCAACCAATTAGTG